CACACGGTGTTGTACATCCACGCCTTCTGCTGCACAGCGTAGACATGGCCACGTGGAAACAGCGGCAGTTCAGACGTTTCGATGCGGCCGCCTGGAGCTCCACGGATGACAAAGAGGATTGGCAGCTTGTCGCCATTGGCACGCACGGTGAGAACTGCAGTCATTCGAAGAGGAATGCTTCTCACCAGTCGATATCTTGGCATCACCCCCTCGAGCAGACCAAATGTACTTGGGCGGCATGTCATAGTAAAACCCAGTCTCATCCACATTGTAGATGGCCTCAGGACCCAAACCCTCGGTACTCGCGGTGGAAATCCTCTGCGAACTTGTCGCGTACCTCGACCAAGGCAGCTTGGCTTTGCTTGTTCTTCCCAGGCCGTTGATGTGAGAAGCCGTGTCGATGGCAGAACCGTTGAAGAAGTCTCAGCAGACTTTGGTATCCGGCGCCAGGCTTTTTCTGCGCAACGTAGGAGCGCAGCCAGTCAGCTTGATGCCGCTTAATCCAGTTGACGATATGTGTTGTCGTCAGGGCTCTTTCTTGTTCACGCATTTCGTTCATGAACAGAACGAGTCCGTCTGGGTCGGGGAAGGTTTCGGGACGGCCACCAGGGACGATCTTCTTGCGCTTTTTGTTACCGTCGTAGGCCAGGATGTCCCATTTCTGGTCAATCCATGTTCGGATTGTTCGACGTGGAATACCCAGTAGTTCAGACACCTGGTAGTCGACGAGGCCAGTTTCCACTAGTCCAAGTACTTCCTGCTTTGTTGCGACAGTGTAGCTGCGCTTTGGTGTATGCTGGGCTCTTCCTGCATTGCGAAATCAAAGCTGACTCTTGTGAGGGCAAAGGTTGCAAGTCAATTTGAAAAATTCGCTCCGGCGGGATAATATTATTATTGTCCAATTATCTGCTCGAATTCGAGTACTCTGTATCTATTGGCTAAAAGGGGGACAGCTGTTATCAAAACTTCGTTAGGCGTACCATTCCCTCTTTCTTTGTACATTTTTGTCTGCTGCCTGGAAAACCTCGACCACCAACAACCACGAAGGAAGCAAGGGTATGCGGATAGTACGATCGCATATCGCGCAGTGCATACATCCATCGTAAGTTATACTTCAATGTGGGTCCTTCATCCTTTGAAAGTGCGATACAGTAGCGGATTTTCTGACAAGAACGTCGGCCACACTATTGGATATTTATGACGCCAAAGACGACTTCATGACAAGACTTGCGTAAGTGCATGTATGTCTGTTATACGCATCCCAACCATCTATTTGTTTAACTTTGGGTACTTGGTGTGCTAGTGCATTCACAGTCTGACGTTAACTAGTGGATTGACACCAGAGGACTAGATGAAAGACCATTCATTTTCCGATTTCCATCATGAAGTTCGCACTCCATCTCGCTTTCACCGTGACCGTTGCTGCCTTGGCTCAAGACCAAGTTGTCCGCGGCGACGAGGCCCCCGGTTTCGAAATCGTCGGGGGCCAGGAAGCCCAATTCGGCCAGCACCGTTATGTGGTTGGGCTCAAGAGGTCGTCCAATGATACGACCGAGTGCGGCGGTAGTCTTATCGCCCCCAATGTCGTTTTGACAGCGGCACATTGTTTGACTGGTAAACTACGTGCTGTGGTCGTGGGCACGCACTATTCAACCGGTTTTGCCGACGGGGAACTGGCCAGTGTCACCCAGGAAATCAAACACCCCAATGGCGCCGACGTGGGCATCGTAATCTTGAACCGCAACATCGCGGGCATCCAACCTGTGGCGGTGTCGTTTGAATTCGTTCCGGCGAACGTGCTCACTTGGGTACGCGGCTGGGGATTCGTCACGAGTCGTGGCCCCCATTCGCTAGTGCTCAAGGAGCTCAACGTTACGACATGGAACAACACCGGGGCCTCGGCTGCTTTGTTCCATCAACTGACCGATACGACATTGGGTGCTGGAGGGGTGGAAGGAGAAGACGCGTGTCGCGGCGACTCGGGGGGACCGTTGACCATCGAAGAAAACGGCACCGTGCGCTTGGTGGGGGTGGTCAGCTGGGGCTTTGGCTGTGGTGTGCATGGCGAACCAGGTATATATGAACGCGCCAGCGCTGCTCGTGCTTTCATTGAACCGCACTTGCCAAATTAAGTCAAACATGCGCGTGCCATTATGAAAGCGACATGGCCGACACGCAACCCCCATGGTTGAGCATACAACCGACTTGCAAATGGAAGGCCAAACTCGCTCGTGTAGTGTTTGTAGTAAACATCCTTAATTTGATGAATAACCATTATGGTGCAGCACCTGAATAGCGCCGTGGGATTCGTGATATAGAAGCACGCAAATCCTTTGTTAGTGGAAGATATCTACTGTTGTATGCTCGTTGCAATCTCTTGCATCATTGACAAACTATATTAACAGGGAGATGCTCTACCACTAAGCTATATTCCCTCCCCTAGCGTGTGCTAGTGGCACTGAACGATATCTTCACGAAAGATTTGCTGGGATTCATATTGTTGTCTTTATTCTAAACTGGAGCGACATGGAGAATGGAATCGACACATCCAAATGCCCAGAAGAATCGGCAGAAGGATATAGCCAATCAGATTGTAGGAAACCATCATCAATTTCAAATTAACGTTAGTTTAACAACGTTACTACGTAATATACGTATGGGCGCAGTTCCGTGACACTTTTTGGGACCCTTCGATGGAGGGGTTACTTTACTCCAAATTGCTGTTATAATAGTGTTTCTTAAAGAGGAGATTTAATGCAGTTCTACGAACTGCATTAAAGTTCCGCATTTTGCTCTCATGCGCACATGCATCGAGTGTCGAATTTTTCTTGCACATGTGCACATGCGAGGATGAAATGTTTTCTTTCTGATATAGAACGGGTAGCGAACGGATAGTAAATTTCTACAAATATAAAGGTAAATGTATGATCAGGAATTAAATTTCACATCCGTGGTGAGGCTTTAACCCAGGAAGTTCCGCCGCTTGAGCTACGGCGAATGATACATTTTTGTGGGGTTAATGAAACAGATTGTGTACAATTTGAGTTCCTCTTATCCAAATTGAACGGTAATGGTAATGAATGGTGGTGGTAATGGACGTGAGGCATGGGTAATCGCCAACATAAGTGAAAACTTCGACAATATGTGAGTTAACAAGGTCAAATTGCATGATGGTATTTATTGTAACGTTACAGTATTAATAACGTTAACTAAGGTTAACGTTATTAACACATGTAGTAAAGACAAACCAACGGCAGATGGAAAGCAACAGTGAGGTGCCCGACGAGAGCAATGGAGACACGATGAAGGCGCTTCCCGAGTGAAACGTCATTCCCCTTTCAAGGTTGAATCGCGTGTCTCCATTGTGCTCGTCGGGCACCTCACTGTTGCATTCCATCTGCCGTTGGTTTGTCCACGTCGGGTATTTGGGAAATATTTTTATTCCAAATGGTCCAACTTAATTACATTGGCTAAAAGCACTGGCGTAAAACGTTACTTAGGGCCTGTTTGTTCCAAATAGATATTTTTAGCAAAAAGGATGAAGAAGTGGCCCCAAGGTATTGTGGATTCGGTACCATTTTCCAGACCCCGTCGAATCGAATCTCGCCGCCGAATCGAATCACGAATCGATGCTATTGGCTAATCCATGTTTGAGTGGATTTGATTTGCTCTTACTGAAAGGACAAGTATAGTCAGCCAATCAGAAATTCCAGCGTGCGTGATTCGACATTCATTACAAAACAAAACGAATTTTTCCGTAATATATAGCGAATTCACACTACAGTTTCCTACTTTTTTACCTCTGTTCTGCGATATTTTACGCAACCCACTATACCAAAAGTAGAAAAAGAGGTCCTAGACTTCATTTTCTAAATCGTGAAAAAAAAGGTAAATTAATTTTGATTGGCTCATGCTATTTCTGAAAACTACTTGGAACTTTCCCTTACTGTTAACTGTACAACGCATGGCGTCTTATTCCTTGCACATTTTGTCAACTCCACTACCAATTGTGGAGCCAAGAGGCGCTGGTATGCTGCACAAGACAGATGGGCGCAGCGATGTCTTTGATCATAATACTTTGATGAGATTATAGTGCTCAAGTATATCATAGCGTTAGCTGTGCTATCTACCAACCGTCCACCTGACGCGGACCAGCTGCCGACTCGCCACGAATCCTGTGCATCCACCGATGTGGTAAGTCTGCATTGTCGTGTTGGTCAAAGAAGCTTACGAAACAACAGTTTTCGACGCTAGACTAGCAAAGATGATCATAGTTCTCTTGCTATCCAAAGCTTGATAAATCTCATCCAAAATTGTAGCAACTATTGTTGCACCAATGAATCTCGTCCAAAATTGTGGGAACTATTGCTGCACCAATATTCCCTCACTACCAAGTAGTACACCAAGAAAATAATATGAATATTATTTAAAGTAGAATCCAACTATTATTCTGCGGGGTTGTTTCAAGGAAACGAACTTCAATTAGAATAGAACCGGAATTGTCGAAATTGGGGTCATTCCACGTCATTCTTTGCGTTTTCCACTTCAGGGTTAATCAAAATATATGAGTCGGTATCCCAGCGAGCAATATTGCCCCAAAGAATGAATACTATTCACTAAGTACTCACAGCTACAGTACAGGTATAATAAATAGTTCACACTTCACTGTCAGAATAAATTCCAGTAAAATCCAAATAATCTTCTGATCATTCTTCCAGGGGTCACTTCAAATTTGCATTGCTGGTACCGGAAATGGAGCTACCGATGCGGTACACACAATTCACAAAATAATAATGGTAACGTTATGTGTGGTATCAGTGAGATAAATACCAATTGTTCTAGTATTAATAATATACTTCGAAGTACTTCGAAGTATAATGCAACACATACAGCCATTAATAGCGTTCACAGTACCAAAATCACATACTACGTAGTATACCGGTAAACACCATCTCGTGTGTAAATTCTAAGTTGACACCGCTGGGATTCGGAACCCAGGTCTCCTGCAAGCAGGCGCGCTTCCATTGCGCCACAACGTCGTGTTCTTGAACATCTTTCTATCGCGGTCATCGTTCGTGTCACCCTTCTACAGCATACCGCTGTTTCATGAGCTGTAGAGTAAGTAATTTGACCGAGACGACACTGCAGACTTACCACATCGGTCGATGCACAGGATTCGCGGCGGGTCCGCGACAGGTCGACGGTTGGTAGATAGCACAGCTAACGCTATGACACACATGCTCATGTGTGTCGGTAGCTGTGCTATCTACCATCGCTGCGCCCATCTGTCTTGTGCATCATGCCAGCGCCTCTTGGCTCCACCATCGGCAGTGGACTTGCTAAAATGTGAAAGGAATACGACGCCATGCTTTTTAAAGTAACCAATTTCGTTTTACTCCTTGTTAAGTACGCGTAGTACTAAGTACTTACTCACATATTGTCGAAGTTTTCACTTGTTGTCGAAGTTTTGCTCAGATACTCACATGTTGGCGATTACCCCGTGAGGCATGTCCATATCACCTCCTTTAATAGTCATTGCACTCCATGTTCATTATCACTTGGGCTACATGGATTCGACAAGCAACTTCGCATGCCCTTGCCGTGCTTCCCATCGCAAGCCCCACGGTTTTGACAGTGACCTACTCGTATAAGGTTTTGAGTATCGAATTATTTGAATTTTATGCCAAATATGAAATTGTGGGTAGTTTTTGAGTTATGTCGAATAAATCTATGAATACTCGGAGTATCATTCTCAAAACCTCAAATTGTATGGATGACTCACGTTTTTGTCACGTCGAAGGGTTGCTCTGAACTCACATTAGACACTTGAAGTGTCTCGTCGAGACTATCCCACCATCATTTCCTTAATTTTCTATTTTACTCATCAAATTGTGTCCGTTCACCCCAAATACCACTGTATCCACAGCTGGTTGCCTCAGAATTACCACCAAATGACACACATTCAGTGGGTTTTCCGATTTTCCGTAT